TCAAAGCACTAACTACCTCCCTGTTTCTCCTTGCCATCTGTGATCCTTTAGGAGATACTTTCTATCAACTCCTTCAAAATGTAACTCACTGGACTACATGGGGTCAAAGGAGGTTAACTCCCAGGATAAAAGCAAATAGAGCAGGGACCTGCCTTTGTGTTTAGCCAAATGCCTGGGCTATAGTAGACGTTCAGTAAATATGAGTGAGTGAGTGAGTGAGTGAGTGAGTGAGAGTGAGTGAATTCAGAACTAACATTTTTTTGAGTGCCTCCCATTTCCATAGCAACACTCCAGGTGCTTTTCCATTCTTAACTTTCCTGGCTAACCCTCCCACCCATTCTGCAAGGTATATATTTTTTATGGCTGACTTACAGAGCTTTAGAGGTGGGGAGGGATCTGGCCAAATTCACACAGATGATAAATCTGGAGCTCGACTTCCAGACTGGTCTTCTCGCTCCAAATCCGTTAAGCAATGCTCTCCTTTTAATATACATTTTTAAGCACTCATAAAAATGATCTGAGGTTATGCAGGCATAAGGCTAACATCCGGGATTTGAACTTGTATTTGATCCCACTATTTTCCATTGTTAGGACAGACATGCCCCAGGGCCTTGTGGATCACATTTCAGGAACCTCAGGCTGGGATTTTCTCACATGCCCTCCGTCCTTTCAGAGCTTATGCCTCTCCCTCCTCCTCAACCTTGGGAGCTGGCGAGTTACCATCTGAGTAGGTCTGGGTCTGAGCTCCTGCAAAACAATGCCCTGCCAGTCTGGAAACCAGACCGCAGCAAGCACCGACCTCGGTTAAAACAAGTGTGGGCAGGCTGCAAGCTGAATCCTGTTTCCACAACCTCTGTGCCCACTGCTCCACTTCCTAGTTTATAGAGAGTTCAGGAGAGGGCCCCCGAGCAGTCACTAGACAGGGGTGCTGACAGCAGGTAGACAGCCTCATCATAAATCCCTGGCAGCCATTCCCCAGCTTCCAACCTTCTCCGCTAGGGGTCAGGCAGTATGGTGTGATGATTAAGAGCACCAACTTGGGAGTTAGGCAGACCTAGACCCAAGATTCTACCACTTTCTACCTGGGTGATCTCATGCAGAAGTCCTAGCCTCTCTGAGCTTCAGTTTCCTCATTTGTAATATGAAAATAATGATTCCTCATCTGTGGGATCATTAAAAACCCTGCATGCTATAAATCTTGTAAAATACCTAGCTTGGTGGTTGGCCCAGAACACCCAGACCATGGCGGCTGGGGTGAACTTGGCCTTCCCTGCTGGCAACCCTGGGGAAAGAAGGCTGTAAATTTATTTATTTATTTATTTATTTATTTATTTCCCTGTGGCCTCCCCATGGCCATGCTCAGAAGGTAGAAGGAAATAATCTTCCTTGTGTTTAAGAGCATAGACGTTTCTATTATGAGACCCTGGGCAAGTTACTTATAACCCCTCTAAGTCACAATTCCCTTGAAGTATAATCATTACTTTTAATTAATGGGGCCATAATTAATCTAACTTAATAGTAGTAAGTTATCTGTACTCACTGTCTCTACTTCCTCACCCCCTAGTTCTGTCTTAAGGCTATTCTTGACTAGCATTTGTCCTCACACCATATTAAAACCTCTCTGGTCCAGCGCACGAGTACTGCCATATTGTTAAACTCAGTGGAGACTTTCTGACCTCTGCCTCTGACACAGCTGACTGCTCCTTCCTTTTTTCACTTTGGGACAGTACCCATCCTGGTTCTCCCCCACTGTGGCGTTTCCATAGCTGGCAGCTTGTCTTCCCAACACTTAATGGTTGGAGGGCCCTATCACTCATTCTCTTCTGTGTTCACTCCTGAGTGATCTCCAGTCCCATGGCTTTGGATCAAGCGTACCCGCCGATGGATCCTGTACTTCTGTCTCCGGTATGGACCTCTCCCTTGAGTGCCCATTCACAAACCCGGTGCAGCTTGGGCATTGTACATGTGCATCCCTAGTATACCTGACAAGCCTCACTAAAATAGGAAATCTTCATTTTGCCCCATTTCTCCCTACTCACACTGCTTCATCCTGGAGCTTCTCCACTTCCAGAAATGGTAACCAGTTGCTCAGGTAAGGTACCTGAGAGTCTCCTTGATTCTTCCCTGCACACCCCACAACCAGTCCATGGATAAACTCTGCATCCCTCATCTGAGCACTTCTCACTGCCCCACCAGTCCAGTCCCTGCTCCCACTGATGCCCTGCACTGGCCCCAGCTTCCCACTCCTATGTCCACCTGCCCCATGATGGTGGTTACAATCTGCTCACTACACAGCAACCAGAATGATCTCTTAAGAGGGGAAACCAATCATGTCTATCCGCCACACCCACACCCCCATCAAAACTCTCCAGTAGCTTCCCTTTGCAAACAAGCTGAAATGGAGGGTTCCAAGGCCCAGTGTGATCAGCCCCCTGCCAGCCTGCCCTTCTCACCTCCTTCTTCTCCTCCCTCTTTCACTCGACTTCAGCTGAACTAGAATCGATGTGATCTCACTTCAGGACTTCTGCATTTGTGGTCTCTTCTGCCCCCAAAACTCCATAATGCACATATTTTCATATTTGCTCCCTCATTTCATTCAGCTCAAATGTCATCACATCCAGGAGGCACCTCCTAATTCCCCTTTGTAAATTATTCCCTTGCCTTCAAATCACCCTAACCTGTCATCATGCCTATATTTCTACAGAGCGTTCATCTCCACCTGAAATTTTATTTTGTGTACACATGTACAGTATATATACACATGTGTATATGCACACACACTCCTTTATTGTTCAGAACTCTCTCTAGAATATAAACTCTGCAAGGGTCTGGACAGGGTCTTATTCGTGGCTGCATCCCCTGTGCCTAAAAAAGTGCTAAGCATGTAGAAAGCATTCAAAAATGTGTTAAATGGATGAATGATAATTACCTGCTTCAAAGGGTTGATGTGTGAATCCAAAAACAATGATGTGAGTAAAGTCCTTCCTTAGCAGGGTGCCTGGCACACAGTAGGACCTCAATAAATGTTAGCTCTTACCATATGTAATCATCACAGCTACCACCCCTTTCAGAGGGATGGTTCCCTCAGGGATCCTCTGGGCAAAGCCCCTGCGGGGCTAGGTCTGCCAGGCCTTGGTTCTGAGGGACCACAGTGCACCCCTTATCAGCTGTTTGTGTTTAGACTCGGAAAGGGACAAATAGCTCTAGTTCCTTTGACAACATTTAGGGCTCTGCCACCATTTTATTATGTGAGCAAACATTTGATAGCTGGGAAGCCCATCCCTAATGACAGGTCATAGAATCTCGCTGGCGTCTCCTTATCTGCCCTTCTTGTTTGCTCTTCTATTGAAACCTGCAAGGTCACAAGCCATTTTCTCTCTCCTTGCCTGAAATCTGAATATTGGAAAAAGGCTGATAGTGGGAAGTAAAGAGACTCAAAAGTGGGGGCAGGTGGTGGGCGGAAGAGGAGGCAAAGGGTATCAGAAGACCCTGACCAGGGCCTCAAGAATTTAAAAGGGTCAGAACTCGTCCCCTCAAATGAATGCATAGCTCGGTCGCATTCTGAAGAGGGCTCGAGGACAGCATGGACCAGGGTACCCTGTGTGGCCCAGTGTTAATTCTGAGCACTTCCCATACATCGGCTCACCTGATCCCTCTACAACCTCCATTTTATAGGTGACAAAACAGACACAAAGAGAGTACCTTGACCAAGAACACAAAGCCAGTAGAAGACTTTTAACCTCAGAGCATGTGCCACGAGGGTACCCAGAACCAGTTTGAATTTCTGTCTCTCTGCTCGCCTAGTTCTGAAACCCTGGACAATTCGCTTTCATTGAGCTTGTCTTTCTAATCCGTAAAATGGGCATAATGGCAACACATACGTATGCGTGCTCCTGAAAGTTTAGGGAAGAGTCTTTAGAGAAAGAGCCATTAAATCAAAAGGCAGGACTTTCCCCTTAGGCGCCCAAACAAGTGAAAGTGAAGGAAGAAACAGAGGGAAGCAAAAAGGGTCTCCCTGAAGGGAAAAGGACAGGAATGGTGTGCCATGACAGTTGAAATGAATGAGGCTGAGGGCTCTGGAAGGGATAGCTCTTCTTGGGGGTTTCTCCATCTATTCTGGGGTCTTCTGCCCCCGGCCATCTGGAAGTCTGGCACCAGGGGCCTTCAACCCAGGTTTCTTGTCCTATTAGGAACAAGCCTCCAGAGAGCTCTTCCCCACACTCCTTCCCTGATGAGTCGCTAGAGCAAGTGGTGATTTTCTTATATGCTCAAGTAGATTAGCAGTATTGACACAATCTGGGAGCTGATTAGAAATGCAGGTTCTTAGGTCTACTGCAAGTCCACTCCATCAGAGCACCATGTTCATGGGATGTCCTGTATTCTTAGGTCCATTGAAGTTTGGGGATCAATGGTCTAGTGGACACTAGCCCTTATAGGTCTTAGGAATAGGACCCTGACTTCCATGAGAGGCAAGAGCTCCCATCCAGCTGCCATTGCAACCACACTGAGCACATTGTAAAACCCACTCTTGGGGCGTCTGGGTGGAAGCATCCAACTTCAGCTCAGGTCATGATCTCACGATTCATGAGTTTGAGCCGTGCGTTGGGCTCTGTGCTGACAGCTCAGAGCTTGGAGCCTACTTCAGATTCTGTGTTTCCCTTTCTCTCTGCCCCTCCCCCCTCTTAAAAATAAATAAACATTAAAATAAAAACCCACTCTCAAAGAAAGAGGAGCTTGACTCCAGGATAAAAGTCAGTGAGTTATGATTAGTTCAAGGTCCCCAGCAGTTCATTTCTCTCTTCTGAAGTGGCCAGAAGATCTGGCTCCTGAGTTTTCCTAAAGGGAGTGTGCTTCAGGACCAACACTGTGGCATGGAGCAGACACTAGGTCCTTGGCCCTTTGCTGGCTGACTTGTGTGTCAGCTCCCCTGGAGAAGACAAACTAAGGGCCATTGTCTCTGCTAACTGCACGCAGCTGAGCTCTCTCTCCTCTGTCTGCAGTGTCCTCTCCAAGCCTGGTGATGATCACACATCACTTGCGTTGTGCACAGCAACTAGGACTCTATTTTCCACACCATCACCCTCCGGGCAGCTGTCACAGAAAAGCCCAGTGACCGGACAAGCACCTTTGAGAGGTCCCTGCTTACCTGACATCCTGCTGACGCTTCAGACAAGCTGTTCCGAGGCGCAGCCCTTCCCTTCTATGCAGTATTGTCGCCATGCCTCTCTCAATACGTCAAGTGCTCCCATCCTGCCCACAGGTGGGAGACAAGAAACCGTGGAAGAGGAAGAAAGAACGATGTGCCTGCATTATGCTCCTTCATCGAACAAACTGATGTGAAAACTTGAATCTGTTACTGACAGGAGGAGGACACGTGCTATTGAACTGAGCCAAACACACTGTAAATATCCACAGACTCCCACCCTCCCTCACCCCCTCCTAGCTGATCTCGAGATTTCTTTCGAAGAAGTAAATTTGTCCAATGGGTGTAAACTATAACCTACTGTAATTAAGTGCAATTTCCCCTCCACTCCCTTCCCCTCCCCCACCCTGTATATAATACTAAAGCGTCTATTAGTTTTCTTTGTAAAGGTCAGAGTTGAATTTTCGAAGTGACTGTCCTCTTCTTTCTCCCCCCACGGAGACATATCCCGAGTCAGAAGTGAAGCCTCTGTCCCTTTCCCTCAGGCCTCTGGACACTTATAGGGACTGTCCATTTGGGACTGACTGCCAGTTGACTCTAATCTCCTGATGTTAAGACACACCTCTGGATCCTGGAGGGGCTGAACGTAGTAGTGTCAGACTAACATCCTAGCTTCCAGTGGGGCTAGGAGTTCAGTCAGGGTGCCACCTAAGAAACCCCCAAGGCAGGAAAACTGGCTGCTTGATAGCACAAGAAAAAGTTACACTTTCAGAAAGCCTCCCATTAAAACAATTTATTTTATCACTGCCCCGAGTCTCATATTTCTGTCTCTGACATTTCCCCTGCCATGGTTCCAAGAGCCCCTGACTCCTGCTCTCCTTGGAATTTTCCATTTAGTCCATTGGATTCATGGCTACACATCCTAGTGTCTTTATACCGGATGTACTGCTAAGGTAAGAAGAGTTGATGCCCCTATCCAGACTCCACAAGCTCCTCTGAGGGAATCTGACAGAGCAGGAGCCCACACCTTTGTCTTCCCTGCAACTCACAGGAGTAAAGGAATAGAGCCAGCTCTTGGTGACTCGTGGCCTTAGGGACAGATTAAAAGCAGGAAGAATGGAAACCCTGTGGGTAACTTGTTCAGCCTTGTTTTAAGCATGAATCTCAGCCTTTCCTTCCTTCTATGGGGCTGTTAGCCACAGGGAGAATGGGAAGCTCTTGTGGGTGTCACCTTCTGTCCAGCTTTCCCCCTCTGGCCAGGATGCTAATGAATAAAAGCCAAAGGCCCGGACACTCCACCAGCAAGGACATTGCCACAAACAATCCAGTGCTGACTTCAGGAAAGAGGAGGTACCTATCTTCTTTGCCATCTCCTCTTGTACAGCATAGACCTACTAGCATGTGGTTTCTTGCTTCAAGTCAGAGGATTTCCTAGGTGTGGTATAAGCAAAGGAATTGTGCTGAGCAGGCCCCAGGCAACAGGTTTCTCTCAACCTCAGTGCAGTGGAAGATGCACTTTGCAGTGATCGGGGCAGATTTACTGAGTACATACTCTACTATGTACCCAGAATAGGGATGGATAGATAAGGAAATGGCGACCTCCTTTGGTTCCTGGTTCCCCTGGACAATGTTATATGAGCTGAAGTGGTCAAGAGAACACTCATGGTTCAGTTGAGAGGAGCTGGGGCCACGGCCAAGCACCATGTGTCGAGAGGCCAAGATCCTCTGTCACTAGTTGAGATGTCCTATTGGATAGCTCCTGTAAGCTCCAGGAAGAAGAAGGGAATATAGGCCTCAAGTCTGAACCTTAGTTGGAACCCTGTATCTGGACTCATTTTGTTTCTGGAACAAGTATCTACATTTGGTACATTTTAGATCTTGCATTATTGCAGTAGCCCTGAGAACGCAGAAGGTCTTTTCATCCAAGCAGTCATATGGGCAGAGCTGGAAGCTGAGGGGAGTGAGGATAGGTGGGTTGGGGAAGGTTCTAGAGACTTTTCCTAACTAAACCCTGTATAAACCAAGACATATAGAAGACAACCCTGGCAAGGTTAGCACCTCCCTTCTGAATGAAGCAGGGACCTTCTACACTGGCTCTACAAAGGGACAAGGAGGCCACCTACAATGTAGGGGTCAGGTGGAATTACCCACTCTAAAGATTCACTTGTAACTAGGAACTCCCATTCTTCCCCCAGAACCTCATGGAACAACATTTCCAGTGTCTCTCTTTACACCTGGAGCCCAAACAGATGGCTCTGTTTTCCCATGACCTACTGTCATTTTCTAGGGTAAGCTCTGGGGAAGCAGATTTCATTTTTAATGCTCATGGATAAGAAATGAGGTCAATAATGAAGACCTGCCTTAAAATGTATTAACCTTTTCCATCCCAAACAGTGGACTCCTCCCCCCACCCCAACTAAGGCAGAGATAACTGGAGGGCTAGGCTGCTAGATTCAGGGGGATAAGAACACAATGTAGACACCCAGGGAATCTGAGCTCTTGGCCCACAGCCAGGGGCAGGTCTTGGTGTTCATTTTGGAGCCAGAATGCCCTGATTAGAATCTCCAACTCCAGCACTTAACCCCATCCTCAGTGTCCTCCATTAAATTGAGTAATGATAATAGTACCCACTGTGTAAGGTTGTTTGAGGAGTGAATACATGTTGAATGCTTGGAAGTGTGGTTGGTATTTTATGTTATTAGTACTCTTTCATCCCACAGTGACTTCTTGTATAGTCTTCTGGGGTTTGTCACTATTTCCAAATAACCTCACCACAAATTTGATGCTTGATAAAACTGCCAAATTGCTGGTAACATGATTTTCTTCATTTCTATGGTGTATGGCAAATCCAGCTGGGAACCAAGGATGAGCCAGGGAGGGGGGTCTGAGGAAAGGGGAAAGGTTTGACCAAAGAGAGTCTTTGTCTCCTAAAGGGAAAGAAGAAAGTAAAACGTGACCATTGCAGGAAGTGTGAGAACCAGGAGGCCAAGACTACAGTTGGTAGTGCTCCTAAAGGTTGGTAGGACCATGCAAGAGGAGTGCCCAGAACAAGGAATGGTGTGGATCAGGAAGAAGCAGGAGCAAACTTCTTCCCAAGGAAAATCAGGGCTGATGTGTTCCCTTTGAATTAGGAGTCAATTCAAACAAACACTGGCAAAATCTGCTCCGGAATGTAAGATTGCTCATAGTGAACCAGCCAGTGACATATGACATATCCATGTTATAATACTTCAAACACTTCCCATTTGCGTCCTACAGGCTGAATACTCGTGAGAAGCTGCAGTCCTCTAAACCAAATGCCTATAAAGCCTGCACCACCCTCTCCTTCTTCTCCCTCTCTTCCCCCCTCTCTTTGCCCTCAATTCTGGTGCAGAGGTCATTCTGGCTAGGCAAATACTAGATTGTCAGCCAAGATTTATAACATGCCTGTATTTTTTAAATGAATCTTTGGGGTGTGCAGCACTTGACACATGCCTGAATGACCATGTTTTCCTGAGTGTCATCTGTACAGTGCTGTGTGTGTGTATAGAGAGGAAATGTGTTCTAAGGGACAGCAGAGCAGAGCAAACAAAGTAACATCAAAAGCAGGATTCATCAAATCAATTTCACACAGTCTGTATATGTATGTTTATGCCATTAAACTGCACAACATATTTCTTTATAGTTTCCACAAAGTTAATTTTCTTACAGACTGTCATATTTCCAAAAGGCAGGTTTCTTTTCTGTGCCCTATTGTCCTGACATCCTTAATAGACCAATTATATTAAATTATTCTCAATTACGAAAGCTAAGTTTTTTTAAAAGAAAAAAAAATCCCAGTATAAGGAAAGTGTGCCAGATTTCCTGAGCTATTATAAATCCTTCTTTGTATCCCTTTGCTTTTGGAAACATTATCTAGTCCAAAATTATGTTTCTTATTTACTTATTCAAGAAATATTTACTGACACCTATTATGTGCCAGGCACCATTGTTCTAGACACTGAGGATACATCAGTGAACCAAATAAATAAAAATCCTTCCCCTCTTGGGGCGCCTGTCAGTCAGTGGAACATGCAATTCTTTTTTTTTTTTTAATGTTTTATTTATTTCTAGGAGAGAGAGAGAGAGACAGCGTGAGCAGGGGAGGGTCAGAGAGCGAGGGAGTCACAGACTGAAACAGGCTTCAGGCTCTGAGCTGGCAGTCAGCACAGAGCCCGATGCGGGGCTCGAACCCACTAACCACGAGATCATGACCCGAGCGAAAGTCGGACGCTTAACCGACTAAGCCACCCAGGCGCCCCGGAACATGCAATTCTTGATCTTGGGGTCGTGAGTTTGAGCCCCACTTTGGGTGTGGAGATTACTTTTTTAAAAATCTTAAAATTCTTCCCCTCTTGAAGTTCATTCTAGTAGGGGAAGCAAGCAGTAACTGAATGTGTATGTGTGTTGACAGAAACTTCTACGGAAGCAGGGAGGTTAGAAGAGCTGGAACTTACACTGTTGGTGGGAATGTAAACTGGTGCAGCCCCTCTGGAAAACAGTGTGGAGATTCCTCAAAAAATTAATAGAACTCTCCTATGACCCAGCAATAGCACTGCTAGGAATTTACCCAAGGGATACAGGAGTGCTGATGCATAGGGGCATATGTACCCCAATGTTCATGGCAGCACTCTCAACAATAGCTAAAACATGGAAAGAGCCTAAGTGTACATCAACTGATGAATGGATCAAGAAGATTTGGTTTATCTATACTATGGAATACTACATGGCAATGAGAAATAATGAAATCTGGCCATGTGTAGCAACATGGATGGAACTTGAGGGTGTTATTGCTGAGTGAAATAAGTCAGGCAGAGAAGGACAGATACCATATGTTTGCACGTATAGGAGGATTAGGAGGAACTTAATGGAGGACCATGGGGGAGAAGAAAGGGAAAAATAGTTGGGGAGAGGCAAACCATGAGAGACTCTTGAATGCTGAGAACAAACTGAGAGCTGATGGTGGGGGAAGGAGGGTGGAGGAGGGCACTTGTTGGGATGAGCACTGGGTGTTATATGGAAGCCAACTTGACAATAAACTATTAAAAAAAAAAAAAAAGAAAAGCTGGAGCTGAGTGACAGGGAGAACCATGTGTTAGGGATGTGGGACATGACAACAAATGACAGAGGGCATTTGTTGTTGCTGTCTGTAGGCACTGCTGTAGCTTCTGTAAAGACCTGGCTTTTCCTCTGAGGGAGCTGGGAGTCATTAGAGAGTTATGAGCGAAGTAGAGACAAGATGTGACTTTTGTTTTCAGAAAATCCCTCTGGCTGCTGAGTTGTATGGAGGGGCCAAGGGTGACCATCAGAAGCCACTGCTGTTATTGGCCTGAGACCAGGAGTGGCAAAAGGGCAATGGAGGTGAAGAAAGGCAGTTGGATTGTGGGTGTCCTCTTGAAGGAAGAGGATTTGAAGGCACCAAGACTTCCCGATGGTTTGGATATAGAGTGTGAAAAGGAGAGGCACTTAAAGCCACTGAAAGATTTGGGGCCTGAACAAAGTAAGAGACAGAAATTGATGTAGAAAATGAAAAAAAAACGCTGCCCAAGACTAGACTCTATCTCATATTTTTTTCTTTTCTTTTTCTTTTTTTTTTGTTTTGAGAAAGAGAGTGAGGGAGGAGCAGAGAGAGAGAGAAAGAGAGAGAGAGGAGAGAGGATCTTAACCAGGGTCCATGCTCAGTGCAGAGCCTGACACTGGGCTCCATCTCACAAACTGTGAGATGAGCTGAAATCAAGAGTCAGATGCTTAACCAACTGAGCCATGCAAATGCCCCTCAGATATCTTTT